AGTGCTAGGATTACAGGCGTGAGCCACCGCAACCCACCCCACATACAATTATTAAAAAAGCACACCCGGAGGGGGTAACAAGATGGTAACTGAGATGGTGGAGCTCCATAAGCTGAAGCTTGCTGAACTAAACAAGAATGTCTTACTTGTGGTTTGGAGACCAAGGGAATAAAGCAAGATCTTATCCACAGACTCCAGGCGTATCTTGAAGAACATGCTGAAGGGAGGCAAATGAAGATGTACTGGGAGATGAAACAGAAGAAGAAACAAACCCCCTGTCAAAGAGGAAGAACCCCCTGAAAAAAAACTGTTGATGTGGCAGCAGAGAAGAAAGTGGTGAAAATTACATCTGAAATACCACTCAATGAAAATTACATCTGAATACCATTCTGAGAGAATGCAGAAGAGGGCTGAACGATTCAGTGTACGTGTGAGCTTGGAGAGTAAGAAAGCTACCTGGGCAGCTAGGTTGGGGATTTCTTCAGTTCCAACACAAGTCTGTCACCTGAGAACAAACCTACGGTTAACTTGGATAAGTCCAAGGAAAGAGCTCAAAGATTTGGTTTGGGCCGGGCGCGGTGGCTCAAGCCTGAAATCCTAGCACTTTGGGAGGCTGAGACGGGCGGATCACGAGGTCAGGAGATTGAGACCATCCTGGCTAACACGGTGAAACCCTGTCTCTACTAAAAAATACAAAAAACTAGCCGGGCGAGGTGGCAGGCGCCTGTAGTCCCAGCTACTTGGGAGGCTAAGGCAGGAGAATGGCGTAAACCCGGGAGGCGGAGCTTGCAGTGAGCTGAGATCCGGCCACTGCACTCCAGCCCGGGCGACAGAGCGAGACTCCGTCTCAAAAAAAAAAAAAAAAAAAAAAGATTTGGTTTGAATGTCTCTTCAATCTCCAGAAAGTCTGAAGATGACAAGAAACTGAAAAAGAGGAAGGAGCGATTTGGGATTGTCACAAGTTCAGCTGGAACTGGAACCACAGAGGATAAAGAGGTAGAGAAGAGGAAAAGAGCAGAGCGCTTTGGGACTGCCTAATGAAAGGTTCTTGATACTTTCTGTTCTCCAGTGTTTTCCATTTCTCTCATTCTTTTTTTTTTTTTTTTTGAGACGGAGTCTCACTCTGTTACCCAGGCTGGAGTGCAGTGGTGCGATCTTGGCTCACTGCAAGCTCCGCCTCCCGGGTTCATGCTATTCTGCCTCAGCCTCCTGAGTAGCTGGGACTACAGGCGCCCGCCACCACGCCCGGCTAATATTTTGTATTTTTAGTAGAGACGGGGTTTCACCGTGGTCTCGATCTCCTGACCTTGTGATCCGCCCGCCTCGGCCTCCCAAAGTGCTGGGATTCATTTCTCTCATTCTTTTTGGTCACATATATACCTAAATGCACAGTCATGTGCCTATGTCCTGCCTCGAAATGAGGAAGCATGTACCCCAGGTACATCTGTGAACTGCCGCAGCAGTTTGACTTATTGCTGTTTCAGCTTTAAGGTTGTTGTGCTTTTGTTTTTGATTATGTTGCTTGTTAACAAAAAGAAAAAAGAAAAAAAAAAGCACAGCCTTTCATTCCCACAGTTAAGAGTGTGCTGGAATTCAGTGGGCTCCAGGGACCAGCTGTTCTGATGAGTCCAGGAATTCACCAGCACCCGGTTTCCAGACTAAACTGACCTTGGCATCAGAAACAGTTTCCTTACAAGTAACCATTTTAGAATTGCTGAAAAACCAATGACAGCATCTCTGAAGTCCACTTAACGTGCCCCCCCTTACTAAATCACAAAAGATTCCTTGGCTGTCACAGGGAGGTCACTCTATTTGCATTTCAAAAAGTCTGAAAGTGGCCAGGTGTGGTGACTCACGTCTGTAATCCTAGCACTTCCGGAGGCCGAGGCGGGTGATCACTTGCGGCGGGTGGATCACTTGCCGGGTGGATCACTTGCCGTCAGGAGTTCATGTAGAGAAACCCCGTCTCTACTAAAAATGCAAAAATTAGCCAGGCGTGGTGGCACATGCCTGTAATCCCAGCTACTCGGGAGGCTGAGGCAGGAGAATCGCTTGAACCCAGAGGCAGAGGTTGCAGTGAGCCAAGATTGCATCACTGTGCTCCAGCCTGGGCAACAAGAGCAAGACTCTGTCTCCAAAAAAAAAAAAAAAAAAAAAAAAAAAAAAAAATTCTGAAAGTATCTCTGGTCTGGTCTTCCTCTTCAGAGGTTAGAGTTGTTTCTGCTCAGAAATCCACAGTTCTGGGAACTGAGCCTCATGTGGATGGGATGAGTATGCCTTATGGGCAAAGTGACAGTTATTCCCAAACCTCAGATGGGCATGAAGAGGAGGGATGGGTGAGGAAGGGCTGTGGCCTCACTGGGCTTTAACTGAACAGGATATGGACAAGCAGTGAGTGTGGAGGGTGCCTACCGACTCTGAAGCCCTGGCTGGGGCAGCACCCAGGGCCAGGAGTGTCCCTGGCCTCAAGAACAGGTATGTGGGCCCCGCACCACTGTACCTCCCCTCACAGGCTTGTGGATCTGTCAGGTGGCAGAAGGATGGAAGGGAAAGATCTGCCCTGCATGGGTGGTTCCATGGTCTCAAGCCAGTGCCATCAAGACAGGAAAAGGCCGACTGGGCGCAGTGGCTCACGCCCGTAATCCCAGCACTTTGGGAGGCCAAGGCAGGCGGATCATTTGAGGTCAGGAGTTCAAGACCAGCCTGGCCAACATGGTGAAACCTCATCTCTACTGAAAATACAAAAATTAGTTGGGCATGGTGGCGGGAGGCTATAATCCCAGCTACTCAGGAGGCCGAGGCAGGAGAATTGCTTGAACCCGGGAGATGGAGGTTGCGGTAAGCTGAGATCGCGCCATTGCACTCCAGCCTGGGCAACAACAGCGAAACTCCATCTCAAAAAAAAAGAGACAGGAAAAGGCCACATGTGCAGGGATGAAGTTATCACAGGACTCGAGGGGTAGGTAAGAGGGGGTGTGTGTGTGTGAATTTCAGCAGCTGCTTTTTAGGGGGTGTACAGTGGCGATGGTGTTTGTGCGTGTGTCAAATAGGGTGGTCTGATGATGCCTCTTTATAAGTACTATCTTGTTTTTCTTGATGACTTAACTTCCAACGAAACTATCTTGTACAGAAGTATCACCATGTAAAGTTGTGGGACAGGCAGCAAAAAAAATTTATATATATACACACACACACACATATATATATATATATATATATAGGCCAATATAGGCCAGGTGTGGTGGCTCATGCCTGTAATCCCAGTACTTCTGAAGGCCGAGGTGAAAGGATCGCTTGAGCCCAGGAGTTCAAGACCAACCCTGGGAAACATGGTGAAACAGTGTCTCTACCAAGAAACACACACACACAAAATTTGCCAGGCGTGTTGGTGCACACCTGTGGTCCCAACTACTTGGGAAACTGAGGTGGGAGGATTGTCAGAGCCTGGGAAGTCGAGGCTGCATTGAGCCATGATTGCGCCACTGCACCCAGCCTGGGCAAAAAAGAAGCCCCTGTCTCAAAAGCAAACAAACAACAACAAAAAAACCACAGAAAGGGACAGACTCAGAGGTCACATGTGCATGAGAAGGTGTGGCCGCCTGAGGGGAGAGAGGCTGCTGGGAGACGTGGGAGACCCCGCTGGTAGTGCGGGAGACCCCGCTGGTAGTGCGGGGCGACAGCACACAACACTGGAGAACTTGCCTGGCTCTGCTATGCACTGAGTGGTCGTCAGCAAGTCCCTTCCCCTGCTTGGGTCTCAGTTTCCCCATCTGTGGATTGAACTCAGTGACTTCCACAAGCCCGCGAACTTTAAGGCTATAGCATTAGATTTCAAGTGTGTCCGGATAGGAAAGAAGACACAAAGAAAACTACCGGTTTCTTTTAAAGTACAAGATATGGGGAGCCAGGAGCCACCATGTGAAAGGGAGGAGTGAAGGGAGTTCAGGCTAAGGGACCACACCAGCTGCTGGGTGTGATGAACAACTCAGAGTTGGGGTCCAGAAAAAAGTAGGGACAGGCCAAAAACTAAGGATGAGCTCCCAGGAGAGAGAGTCCTAGAAGGAAGTTTAAGAGTCTAGCTGGGGTCTCCTACAGAGAGGTGGTCCTTCCCTCAGCACGCCTCCTCCAACAGCCTAGTTTTGATGAAAGCAAAAAGAAGAGACGCTCAATGTAGCGGGGTTGGGAGGTAGGGGGTGCGATATCCTAGTACTCTCCTGTAGCTGGGAGAGTGTTGAGGGAGAGTTCCAATCCAGGATAACCCACCCTTATTCAAGAATTAAGCGAACGGACAAGGTCCTACCCGCCTACAGATTACCTTTAAACAGCCGCAGGGGGCCAAAGATCCGAGGCAGAGAACTCCTGAGTTCGAGTGAGGGGAAAAGGGGTCCCCAGACGGTGGAAATGGGGGCCTGGGAGTCAGGAGTCCTGGAACCAAGGGGGAGCGTCCCGGGATCCAGAAGAGGAGGTCTCAGGATGGAGTGAGAAGAGTCCCGGATCACAGATGAGGGAGTTCGGGAACTAAAGGGGAGGGTCCCAGGACCCGGAGGAGGTGGGAGGGACTCTCAAGACATAGAGGGAGGAGTCCCGCGACCGAAGGGGAGGGGTCCCAGGATCCAGAGGAAGCCGGGGGAGGTCTCAGGACCGAGGCGAAGGAGTCCCGGGAACACAGAGGAGAGGGTCCGGGGTTCGAGTCGCTCTCGCCCTCCCGCCAGGGCCCCGCGCTCACTGTCCATGCCGGGGAAGGGCAGCGGCTGCGCCCCGAGCTGCTGCTCCACTGCGATCTCCAAGTCAAACTTGATGTGGTCCACGCTGGCGATTATTTCCTGCATGGCGGCGGCGGCGGCCCCACCGGCCCGGCTCCCCCTCGGTCTCCTGCAGCCCTCTCGCCTCTCTACCCGCCGCCGGGCCCGCCGCACACGCTCCTCCTGCGCCTCGCAGCCGCCGCCGCCGCCGCCGCCCGAGGGATGCCGGGAGCGCCCAGAGCCCGCGCCGGTTCTTGCGCCTGTCCAGGCACTGCCAATCGAGCGCGGAGTCCCGCCGCTCCGCTAGTCCCGGCTAGCCGCCAGCCGAACGCCGGCCTAGTCTCGCCGGAAACCTGAAACCAGCCGCGTGTGTCGGCGACGCGGGCTGCGCTTGCGCGTCAGGGGAGAGGGTGATCCGTGGGAGAGCCGGGTCCGTCGCGGGGACCGGGTAGAGAGCCCCGTCGGAGTGCACTGCGCCGGACACTTCAAGTGAGTTCTTGTGTGATCCTCGCAGGAACCCCGGGATCCGGGCAGAGACACGCCAGAGGGGAAGGAAGTGCCCGAACCAGGATTGGAGCCAGGGGCGTCCGAGGAGGGAAACTGAGGCTGCAAAAGTCTGTGTGGAGAGGGGTCGGCGTTGGCCTGAGGGTCCGGGTAGGCGTCTGAGGAGGGGCGGGTCTCTCCGAAGAAGGACGGCCGCAGCGTGTCTCTAATTCAGGGTTTTTTCTTTTCTCGCTAGGTGGCCCAGGCTGGAGTACAGCGGTACGATCATAGCTCACTGCAGCTTCAACTTCTCAGGCTCAAGCGATCCTCCCACCTCAGCCTCTTGAGTAGCTGCACCACCACGCTTGGCTAATTTTTAAATTTTTATTTTTGATTTTTGTGGAGATGGGGGCCTTGCTATGTTGCCCAGGCTGGTCTTGAACTCCTAGCCCCAAGCCCCAAGCGATCGACTCGCCTGGGCCTCCCAAAGTGCTGGGATTACAGGCATGAGCCACTGTATGGTCTAATTCAGGGTTTTCTAACCAGGGTGGGGTAATGAAATTGTATAGGAACAAAATGACACCCCTATTTTCTCTGTGAAATTTAGCATTTCCTTTCCCAATTGCTGGAGCAGCCTTAGCAGTGCCTGAAACTGTGTCATAATTTCAAGGTGGGGTGAGTGTAAATGATAGTTCCAGATAAGAGTTTGTGCAGGGCCAGGCGTGATGGCTCACACCCGTCACTCCAGCACTTTAGGAGGCCGAGGCAGGAGGATCACTTGAGGTCAGGAGTTCAAGACCAGGCTGGACAGCATGGCAAAACCCCGTCTCTACTAAAAATATAAAAATTAGTCGGGAGTGGTGGTGCGTGCCTGTAATCCCAGCTACTTGGGAGGCTGAGGCATGAGCATCGCTTGAACCCGGGAGGCAGAGGTTGCATTGAGCCGAGATGGCACCACCCCACTGCAGCCTGGCGACAGAGTGAGACTCAAAAAAAAAAAAAAACAGTTTGTGCAGCACCTACAAGGTGGTATCTTAAGCTGTCACTTACATTCGTTACTGCTTTGAAATTATTGTAGGGTCTTGTTATTTAATGCATTGAAAATAAGCATCTATGCTAGTATAGCAGAAATTTGTTTTTAAAGCATTTTGATGCCATTTCAATATCATTGCTTTTTGTTTTGTAATTCTGTGTATTGTAATTAATGCACATAAGGCAGGGCATGGAGGCTTACGCTTGCAATCCCAACACTTTGGGAGACCAAGGCTGGAGGATTGCTTGAGGCCAGGAGTACTAGACCAGCCTGGCAACATAGGGAGACTACATCTCTACAAAAAATTAGCTGGGTATGGTGGTGTGCACCAGTAGTGCTAGTTAATTGGGAGGCTGAGGTAGGAGGATCACTTGAGTCCAGAAGTTGGAGGTTGCAGTGATTGTGCGTTTGCCACTGTGCCATCGCACTCCAGCCTGGGCAACATGAAGACCCCATTCCCATAAAAAGAAAATTACATAAACACCATGCTTGTAAGAAGGAGTGGCAGGGCTTGCCAGATGCAGAATGATAAAGGCCCCCTGCACTAGTTTCACAAAGGTGCTAGTCAGGAGAGTCTGTCCATACGTTACATGGACCTGAGTTCTAAGCCAGCCCAGGCCAAACTGGCCAGTCTCACCCACTGCACTGCTGCAGGACCCCAGCAAGTCTCTACCCTTGCTGGGCCTAGTTTTTTGTTTGTTGTCGTTGTTGGTTTTTTTGAGACAGAGTCTTGCTGTGTTGCTCAGGCTGGAGTGCAATGGCGCTATCTTGGCTCACTGCAACCTCTGCTTCCCACGTTCAAGTGATTCTCCTGCCTCAGCCTCCCGAGTAGCTGGGATTACAGGGACATGCTGTCATGCCCAGCTAATTTTTGTATTTTTAGTAGAGATGGGGTTCACCATGTCAGGCTGGTCTCGAACTCCTGACCTCAGGTGATCCACCCACCTTTGCCTCCCAAAGTTCCTGGATTACAGGCGTGAGCCACCGCTCCTGGCCTGCTGGGCCTAGTTTTTAATCTGTTCAATCTGCCATCACTTGTGAGACTTTTCCAATGGCAACCTTCTAATATAACCAGACTTCAAAATATTTTAGGCTGGGCATGGTGGCTCATTCCTGTAATCCCAGTGCTTTGGGAGGTCAAGGTGAGAGGATTGCTTGAGTCCAGGAGTTCGAGACCAGCCTGGGCACATAGCAAGACCCCATCTCGACCAAAAAATGAAATTAGGCGTGGTGGCACGCACCTGTCGTTCCAGCTACTCAGGAGGCTGAAATGGGAGGATCGCTTGAGCACAGGAGGGTGAGGCTGCAGTGAGCTATGTCTGACCTGAACCTAGGCTTTCTAACCTTTGGGCCCATACTTCTTATTTTATTTATTATTATTATTATTTTTCTGATACAGAGTCTCACTGTGTCACTCAGGCTGGAGCGCAGTGGCGTGATCTCAGCTCACTGCAAGCTCGGTCTCCTGGGTTCAAGTGATTCTCCTACCTCAGACTCCTGAGTAGCTGGGATTAGACATGTAGCACCACATCCAGCTCATTTTTTTTCTATTTTTAGTACAGATGGAGTTTCACCAGGCTGGTCTTGAACTGATCTGCCCACCTTGGCCTCCCAAAGTGCTGGGAGTACAGGCATGAGCCACCGTTCCTGGCCTGTTCTTTTTTTTGTTCGTTTGTTTGGTTGGTTTGGTTTTGTTTTTTTGAGACAGAGTCTCACTTTGTCACCCGGCTGGAGTATGGTGGCGCAATCTCAGCTCACTGCAAGCTCCATCTCCCGGGTTCCAGTGATTCTCCTGACTCAGTCTCCTGAGTAGCTGGGATTACAGGCGCACCTGGCTGTAAAAACCACCATGCCTGGCTAATTTTTGTATTTTTCATAGTGACAGGGTTTTACCATGTTGGCCAGGCTGGTCTCAAACTCCTGACCTCAAGTGATATGCTGGCCCCGACCTCCCCAAGTCCTGGGATTACACGCGTGAGCCATCGCGCCCAGCCTGGGCCCATACTTCTAAGCACTTCTTTCTTTCTGCCTTTTGTGACTAGGAACTGAGTTGACTCTCTTACTTTTCCTGATATATTCCAGGCCCTGGAGGGACCGGAAAGCCAGAAATGAACCTCATGAGACTCACTAGACTGTTCTCCAGGGCCCGCCCCATGGGACTGTTCGTCCTGCAACACCTGGATCCCTGTAGCGCCAGGTGGGCGGGAGGCAGGGAGGGGCTGATGCGGCCAGTGTGGGCAGCCTTCAGCAGCTCCTCCTCTCAGCTGCCCCTCGGCCAGGAGCACCTGGAGAACACGGGCAGCCTGGGCTCTGACCCGAGCCACTCCAACTCCGCGGCCATGCAGGAAGAAGACGAGGAGGAGGAGGAGAGTTTTGGGACCCTCTCTGACAAATACTCCTCCCGGAGACTATTCCACAAATCCACAGCCCAGTTCCATAACCTGCGGTTCAGGGAACAGAGAGAGGAGCCAGAGGAACCGGAGCCCAAATTATGGCAAGGCCGGAGAAACACCCCGTACTGGTACTTCTTGCAGTGCAAACGCCTGATCAAGGAAGGGAAGGTGAGGGGCGCTTTGGTTCTGCGGCTCCTGGCTTCTTACCCCTGGTAGCTCAGTGTTTTGCAAGGGGTCGCCTGACCTTCCCAGCCTCTAAGTTTTGGGCCTACCCTGTGAACTACCAGCCTTATGGCTGTAAGTATCACTGCCCTTTGCCATCCTCTGCCACAGTTTTATTTTATTGTATTTTTTTTTTTGTAGAGATGGAGGTTGCACTGAGCTGATCTTACCACTGGACTCCAGCCTGAGTCACAGAGCAAGAATCTGTCTCAAAAAAAAAAAAAAAAGGAAAAGTGAATCCTCCACACCCTTCTGGCACTCCCTGCTTTACGTTTTTTTTTTGTTGTTAAGACAGGATCTCACTCTGTCGCCCAGGCTATAGTACAGCGGAACGATCTTGGCTCACTGCAGCCTCTGCCTCCTGGGGAATTCAAGCGATTCTCCTGCCTCAGTGTCCCAAGTAGCTGGGATTACAGGCATGTGCCACCACGCCTGGCCGATTTTTGTATTTTTAGTAGAGATGGGGTTTCTCCGTGTTGGCCAGACCTCAGGTGATCTGCCCGCCTTGGTCTCCTGAAATGCTGGGACTACAAGCATGAGCCATTACACCCTGCCCCTGCTTTAGTTTTGTTTGTAGCACCTGTCATCACTTGATATGTTGTATGTCTTTCTTATCCCATTTCATGTCTGTCTTTTTGTTTGTTTTTTTTTTTTGAGACAGAGTCTTGCTCTGTCACCCAGGCCGGAGTGCAGTGGTACAATCTTGGCTCACTGTAGCCTCTGCCTCCCAGGTTCAAGCAATTCTCCTGCCTTAGCCTTCCAAGTAGCTGGGATTACAGCTGCGCGCCACCATACCTGGCTAATTTTTGTATTTTTAGTAGAGACGGGGTTTCACCATGTTGGCCAGGCTGGTCTTGAACTCCTGACCTTGTGATCTGCCCGCTTCAGACTCCCAAAGTGCTGGGGTTACAGATGTGAGCCACTGCGCCCGGCCTCATGTCTGACTTTCCACACCGGAACATGAGCTCCAAGAAGGAGCGCCCTCTTGTTCCCAGCTATATCTGCAGTGGATAGACCTTGTCTGGCTCATTGAAGCACTCAGTAATTATTGTTTGAATGAATAGATGAAAATAATGAAGGAATAAAGGAACGAACTGAGGCTTTACCGGGGAAATGTTGTGAGGGGAGGGATGAGGCAGAGACAGCCGGGGGCCCAGGGGGTTTGCAGTCACCCAGGGCCGCTGTCCTGCACTGTCTCAGGAGCGTCCCTCAGCCTCAGCCTCCCTCTCTCTGCCGAGAGTCTCTGGGGCAGTTCTGAGCCCCTGCCCTGTTGCCTCTTCCCTGCAGCTGGTCGAAGCGCTGGACCTGTTTGAGAGGCAGATGCTGAAGGAGGAGCGACTGCAGCCCATGGAGAGCAACTACACGGTGCTGATCGGGGGCTGCGGGCGGGTCGGCTACCTGAAGAAGGCCTTCAAGCTCTACAACCAGGTGTGTGTGAGCGCGGGGCAGCAGGGGCAAGGCTCTGAAAAGCTGGGGGCGGATCCCGAGTGTGCTGCTTGCTAGTGCTTTACACTGGGCAGGTGACTTCACCTCCCTGTCCTCAGTCACCTCCTTAAAATGATGGTGATTGTGGGTGATAAACGAGATGATGTGGAAAGCCCTCTAGCACCTGCCTGGACTGCAGCGGTCCCCATGTTCCCTTTCTTTTTCCCTTCAAAAAAAAAAAAAGAGAGAGAGAGGTAGCCTCACTCTATCGCCTAGGCTGGAGTGCAATCATAGCTCACTGCAGCCCCCAACTCCTTGGCTCAAGAGTTCCTCCTGCCTCAGCCTCGTCAGTAGCTGTGAGTACAGGTGTGTAGCACCATATCTGTCTAATTCTTAAATTTTTTGTAGAGGTGGGATTGTGCTGTGTTGTCCAGGCTGGTCTCTAACCCCGGCCACCCGCCTCGGCCTCCCAAAGTGCTGGGATTATAGGCCACAGCCCAGCCACTGCATCTGCGCCTCTTTTTTCTTTTTTTTTTTTTTTTTCCTGGAGACGGAGTCTCGCTCTGTCGCCCAGGCTGGAGTACAGTGGTGTGACTTCGGCTCACTGGAACCTCCGCCTCCGGGGCTCAAGCGATTCTCATGCCTCGGCCTCCCGAGTAGCTGGGACTACAGGCACACATGCCACCACGCCCGGCTCATTTTTTTGTATTTTTAGTAGAGACAGCATTTCACCTTGTTGACCAGGCTGGTCTCGAACTCCTGACCTCAAGTGATCCACCCACCTTGGCCTCCCAAAGTGCTGGGATTACAGGCAAGAGCCACTGCGCCTGGCTGATTACATCCACTTTAAAAAACTATTAGTTTTGGCCGGGTGTGGTGGCTCACGCCTGTAATCCCACCACTTTGGGAGGCCAAAGTGGGCAGATTATGAGGTCAAGAGATTGAGACCATCCTGGCCAACATGATGATACCCTGTCTCTACTGAAAATACAGAAATTAACCAGGTATGGTGGCACGCACCCGTAGTCCCAGCTACTCGGGAGGCTGAGGCAGGAGAATCACTTGAACCCAGGAGGTAGAGGTTGTAGTGAGCCGAGATCATGCCACTGCACTCCAGCCTGGTGACAGACTGAGACTCCATCTCAAACAAACAAAAAAAAATATTTTTATTGTTTTTATTTATTTTACTTTATTTTATTTATTTTTTTGAGACGGGAGTCTTGGCTCTCTCAGCCTGGCTGGAGTGCAGTGGCACAACCTCGGCTCACTGCAACCTCCACCTCCCAGGTCCAAGCAATTCTCCTGCCTCAGCCTCCCGAGCAGCTGGGATTACAGGCGCCCACCACCACGCCTGGCTAATTTTTTTGTATTTTTTATAGAAGACGGGGTTTCGCCATGTTGGCTGGGCTGGTCTCGAACTCCTGACCTCAGATGTGATCTGCCCCCCTCAGCCTTCCAAAGTGCTGGGATTATAGGCGTGAGCCACAGCACCCAGCCTTGTTACTGTTTTTGGTAACTCACCTGCAGTGTGTCTGCCTTCTCGAGTGTCAGCTCAGTAAGGACAGGCTGTGCCCACTCTGCTAACCCCAGGGCTGGTGCTGGGCGGGTAGCGAGTTGTCAGTGCACCTCTGTGGAGTGCAGCAATACACACAGAGCCTACATCATCCTCAAAGTAGGGACTGCCATCTTTGCTTTTCAGATAAGGAAACTGAGGCACAGAGAGATGAAAGGACATGTCCAAGGCCACCCCACTTGAATGCACCAGGGCTGAGATTTGAGCCCCAAATGGCCTGACTCTAGCAGGGTTCTTTTTGCCACTGAGCCGCCTGTCGCCTGCCCTCGACCAGATGACCCTTCTCTGGGCATTTGCAAGTGCTAGGCTTCACCAGGGATTGTCAACCCTGAGCACCTGCCTTAGTCACCCAGAGGCTCAATAAACTGAGTGTCACTCACCTCCGGGGCTTGTGACTCACCAGATGACGTGGCCCTGAGAATGTGCATTGTGCCAGTGGTTCGGGGCCACCCCTAGAGCACTGCAGTGCACCCTCCCACTTGCCACAGGCATCCCTGGTTTCAAGGTGATGGTGTCATCCCCATTTTCACAAGGAAGCGCTGACTTGCCCAGGAACCCTCAGGTAGTAAGCACTATAGCCCCTTTTCCCCTTGACTGGGTGGCCTGAAGGTGGGGCATCAGGAAGACCTTGCTGCCAGGACCCCAGGCCTGGAGTGGGCTGACAGGTGCCCAGGGCAGGATAGCTTCTGTTTGGTACATATGGGGGTGTGGGCTCAGTTTTCAGAGTCCCTTCAATGTGTCTGAGTTTGGAGAGCTGGGCACTGATGTGTCCCATGGCTCTGCCTTAGAGCCTGGCCTGGTGTATGCAGTAATGGGGTCCTCTCCAGCCTCAGCCTCCTCTGGGGCGGCTGCTCACCTGTGCGTCCAGCTGATCCCAGGCCACCACTGAGCTGCTTCCATCTCCACAGATGAAAAAGCGGGACCTGGAGCCCTCAGACGCCACCTACACGGCCCTGTTCAATGTCTGTGCCGAGTCCCCCTGGAAGGACTCGGCTCTGCAGAGCGCCCTGAAGCTCCGGCAGCAGCTGCAGGCCAAAAACATCGAACTCAACTTGAAAACGTACCACGCGCTGCTGAAGATGGCTGCCAAGTGTGCAGACCTTAGAATGTGCCTTGATGTGTTCAAGGTGGGGGGCTTCACCTGCCATCCTGCTCCCCATTGTGGGGCTGGTACCATGTGGCGGGGGCGGGGCTGTGGTGTCTGTCTCTCCTCATGCAGGAAGGCTCAGAGAGGGTGAGACAGCCGGTACTGGGCACTGGGGTTCACAGACAGATCTGATGAGACCCTGCTGGAGGTTGTGTGTGCCGCTGTGTGCTGTGTCCTGCTTTGTGCACTCGAGGGAAGGCTTCCTAGAAGGGGTGTTCTCTATCCGAGTGTAGAGACAGGGTCTTGTTATGTTATGTTGCCCAGGCTGGTCTCAAAACTCCTGGCCTCAAGTCATCCTCCTGCTTTGGCCTCCCAATGTGCTCGGATTACAGACATGAGCCATCACGCCCAGCCTGCTGCAGGTTCTCAATGGGACCTCTTTGTTCCCTCCCCCAGGAAATCATCCACAAAGGGCACATTGTCACAGAGGAGACTTTCAGTTTCCTGCTCATGGGCTGCATCCAAGACAAGAAGACGGGCTTCCGGTATGCCCTCCAGGTATGTCCCTCCCACGCCACCTTCCTGCCCTGCTTCCCTGGTGCAAGAGGTGCAAAATGGTGATCCTGTGAGCACCCATGATGGCCCTGTGCTGAGTATTTTTATATTTGTGCTCTTTTTTGAAAACCCAGCAGCCACTGTAGCCTCCGTTCTACAGATGGTAGGGAGAGGAGGCCCTTAGAGGTGCAATGAGGGTGGCCCCCGCCTCTCCCACCTTGCTTTGCAGTAGGCTCAGCCCCTCTAAACTCACCTTCCCTGAAAGCCTGCCGAACACTCACCTGGGGACTTGTTCAACCCTCCCACAGCCGGCTAGCACTTCTGCAGGTGCAACCGAGGAGTCATTCATTCATTTATTTATTTTGAGATGGAGTCTTACTCTCGCCCAGGCTGGAGTGCAATGGCGTGATCTCAGCCTCCTGCAACCTCTGCCTCCTGGGTTCAAGTGATACTCCTGCCTCAGCCTCCTGAGTAGCTGGGATTATAGGTGCATGCCACCACGCCCAGCTAATTTTGTATTTTTAGTATAGGCAGGGTTTCACCATGTTGACCAGGCTGGTCTTGAACTCGTGGCCTCATGTGATCTGCCCGCCTGGGTCTCCCAAAGTGCTGGGATTACAGACGTGAACCACAGCTCCCGGCTGGAAAGCTTTTTTAAAATTATTTATTTATTTTTTTGAGACAGAGTCTTGCTCTGTCGCCCAGGATGGAGTGCAATGGCGCGATCTCGGCTCACTGCAGGCTCCTCCTCCCGGGTTCACGCCATTCTCCTGCCTCAGCCTCCCAAGTGGCTGGGACTACAGGCGCCCGCCACCACATCCGGCTAATTTTTCGTATTTTTAATAGAGATGGGGTTTCACCGTGTTAGCCAGGATGGTCTCAATCTCCTGACCTCATGATCCACCCGCCTCAGCCTCCCAAAGTGCTGGGATTACAGGTGTGAGCCACCACGCCTGGCCTATTTTTTTGAGGCAGGGTCTTGCTATTTTGCTCAGTCTTGTCTGGAACTCCTGCTCTCAAGGGATCCTCCCATCTAAAACTCCTGGGGCACTGGGATTCCAGGTGTGAGCCCTGCGCCCAGCTGCTGAACAGGAGCACTGAGCTGACGTTTGTCCTCCCTGGCAGGTGTGGCGGCTGATGCTGAGTCTGGGGCTACAGCCGAGCCGGGACAGCTACAACCTGCTGTTGGCAGCAGCTCGGGACTGTGGCCTAGGGGACCCCCAGGTAGCCTCAGAGCTGCTTCTGAAGCCCAGTGAGGAGGCAACCGTGCTTCAGCCCCCAGTGGGCAGGCAGCGACCAAGGAGGACAGCCCAGGCCAAGGCAGGCAACCGTATGTCAGCTGTGCTGCACGTGGAGGCCCTGGAGAGGCAGCTGTTTCTGGAACCTTCTCAGGCACTTGGGCCTCCAGAGCCTCAGGAAGCCAGAGTGCCCGGCAAGGCCCAGCCAGAGGTGGAAACCAAGGCAGAGCCCAGCCACACAGTGGCCCTGCCCCCTGTGGCCCTGAAGCCACCTCCCGTGGAGCTGGAAGTCAATCTCCTGACCCCTGGGGCCGTTCCCCCCACCGTGGTCTCCTTTGGAACAGTGAGCACCCCAGCTGACAGGCTGGCCTTAATAGGGGGCCTGGAGGGCTTCCTGAGCAAGATGGCAGAGCATAGGCAGCAGCCTGACATCAGGACCCTCACGCTACTGGCCGAGGTGGTGGAGTCCGGGAGTCCTGCGGAGTCCTTGCTGCTGGCCCTCCTGGACAAACACCAGGTGGAGGCCGACCTGACATTCTTTAACACGCTGGTGAGAAAGAAGAGCAAGCTGGGAGACCTGGAGGGGGCCAAGGCGCTGTTGCCAGTCCTGGCGAAGAGGGGCCTTGTCCCCAACCTGCAGACATTCTGCAACCTGGCCATCGGGTGCCACAAGCCGAAGGATGGTCTGCAGCTGCTGACAGACATGAAGGTGAGTGGACCTGGGCCTGGGCAGGACGCCTGTGGTCCTGAGGAGCACTCTGCAGCTCAGGAGGAAAGTTTGGGGGAGCAGGGGTCCCTCAAGCCCCCCACTTGGATGAACTGTGCATAGGGGCAAAGAGAGTGGGGTTGATGAGCTTCTGGTGTAGAATGGTCTTCGGTCCCATTTTGGGGGAAGCAGACCCCGGAGAGTGCTTCAGGGCTGGGCGTAGAGATGCACGGACGTTCCCGTCTGGAAGAAGGTGGCCGTGGGGTGACACTGAGGGCTGGGGACAGGCCTCGGCCCCAACACTCTAGAGGTATGGCAGGGATTCTCAGAATTCCTGGGGAGCCGTGGGTGGTTTTCAAAGCCCCCGAGATCTGCTGTGCCTCCCACCTAGCCCCCATTGGAAGTGCTGCGTGGATTTCATCCGACCACAGCAGAGGCTGCGTCCTGCGTTGTCGGGGTCCCCCAGGTCCATCACCCTCGGGCTGTTTTCCTGGACCCTGCCGGGCTCACCTAGCCAAGACTCACGCTTTTCTAGGCTGACCACCACCTGGTGACCATGCATCATGGGGAAACCCACCCCAGGGAGCGAGGAGGTGGTGTCTCCCGCATCATTTTCTGCCTGAGTCAGTCGGTGTCTGAGAGCAGCACGGGCGTCCTTTTCCGCAGCTTCTTTAGGGCTGAGCAGAAGGGCTGGGCTTGGCTTTCCTGCTGGAGAGGGACATTCAGCGCATCGTTGCTGCCAGGTTTGCCTTGCTGGCTGTGGCCGCTGGTCCCAGGAGCCAGCTTGATTGACAGAGGGTGGGAGCTGCTGGGTCCCAATGGCTGCCATCATCTTGCTGATTCTATGATGTCCCTGTGTTCTAGAAGTCCCAGGTGATCCCCAACACTCACATCTACAGCGCCCTCATCAACGCGGCCGTCAGGAAGCTGGACTACACCTATCTCATCAACATCTTGAAAGACATGAAGCAGAACAGGGTCCCAGTGAACGAAGTGGTCATCCGCCAGCTGGAGTTTGCAGCCCAGTACCCTCCGACCTTTGACCGGGTGTGTGCCCCAAGCTCAAGCTCATCAGCTCCTTCACCATTTCTAACCCCTGCCACCACCCAACCCTGGTTCTGGCCCTTGGGATTGTGTTCTCATGCTTGAAACTGTCCAACAGCTTCTCTTAGGAGCAGTCCCCAAGTCTGTAGACCACAGCCTGAGTCCCTGTCCACATGGCTCATCTCAAGTCTCAGGCCAGCCTTCCCTTTGCTGCCTCTGTCCATCCCAGTGGCTTTCCGTCAGTTCCCAAAGGCCACCAGCCTCTTGCCTGCCTCGGGATTGGTGTTCCCGCTGCCTTGGGTGACACCCACTTTCATGTGGTGGGCTCTTTCTCCTGGAGGTCTCTGCTTACGTGGCTCTCAGAGATGCCCAGCTGGCTGCCGCTCTGACCTGGGGTGAAAGTCTCCCCTCCCCCAGCTCTATTCCTTTATGCCGTGTCCTATAGTCTCAGGTCACATGCTCATGGGCAGCCCTGGCCTTCCCTGTATCAGGCTTCTGGAGGCAGAGGCTGTCTGCTGTGCTTATCTGGGTCCCCAGCACCTGCACATTGCCAGTTACTCCAAACAGGTTATTGCTTGCTCAGGGACTGGACAGGCAGTGAAGTGGCATTGTTATCTGGGGTGAATCACTGAGATTTGTTGTCTTACTCCATGGAAATCAAGGATGTGGACACAAAGAGTGAGGTTAACAGTGGCTCATGCCTGTAATCCCAGCACTTTGGGAGGCCAAGGTGGGTGGATCACAAAGTCAGGAGATTTAGACCATCCTGGCCAACATGGTGAAACCCCATCTTTACTAAAAATACAAAAATTAGCTGGGCGTGGTGGCGCGTGCCTGTAATCCCAGCTACTCAGCTGAGGCAGGAGAATTGCTTGAACCAGCCGAGATTGCGCCACTGCACTCCAGCCTGGCTACAGAGCAAGATTCCGTCTCTTTTTTTTTTGTTTTTTTTTTTTGAGACAAAGTCTCACTCTGTCGCCCAGGCTGGAATGCAATGGTAGGTTCTAGGCTCACTGCAACCTCCACCTCCTGGGATCAAGTGATTCTCCTGCCTCAGCCTCCCAAGTAGCTGGGATTACAGGTGCCCGCCACCACACCTAGCTAATTTTTGTATTTTTAGTAGAGACGGGGTTTCACCATGTTGGCCAGGCTGGTCTCGAACCCCTGACCTCGTGATCCACCCTCGAACCCCTGACCTCGTGATCCACCCGCCTTGGCTTCCCAAAGTGCTGGGATTACAGGCGTGACCCACTGCATCTGGTGACTCTGTCTCAAAAAAAAGAAAAAAGAAAAAAAAGAGTGAGGTTAAGGCCGGGCACTGTGGCTCACACCTGTAATCCCAGCACTTTGGGAGGCCAAGGCAGGTGGATCACCTGAGGTCAGGAGTTTGAGACCAGCCTGACCAACGTGGTGAAACCCTGTCTCTACTAAAAATACAAAAATTAGTTGGGTAGTGGCGGGCACCTGTAATCCCAGCTACTCAGGAGGCACAAGAATCACTTGAACCCAAGAGGCAGAGGTTGCAGTGAGCCAAGATCGTGCCACTGCACTCCAGCCTGGGTGATAGATGGAGACTCGGTCTCAAAAACAGGAAAAAAAAAAAGAGGTTAAGAGCTGAAGTTTAATAGGTGAAAGAGAAGAGCTCTTGCCTGGCGCTGTGGCTCATGCCTGTAATCCCAGCACTTTGGGAGGCTGAGGCAGGCAGATCATGAGGTCAGGAGATTGAGACCATCCTGGCTAACACGGTGAAACCCTGTCTCTAATATAAAAAATTAGCTGGGCATGGTGGCAGACGCCTGTAGTCCCAGCTACTTGGGAGACTGAGGCAGGCGAATGGCATGAACCCGGGAGGTAGAGCTTGCAGTGAGCCAAAATCGCACCACTGCACTCCAGCCTGGGCGACCGAGCGAGACTCCGTCTCAAAAAAAAAAAAAACCTCTCTGCAGAGCAGAGGTGCCAGAGAAATGGGTTGCCGCTTCCACCATGAAATGCAGAGGTTTTGTAGATGAGCTTGAGGAGGTGGTGTCTGATTTACAAAGGACACAAAAGATTGGTTGGACCAGGTGTGCCATTTACATAGCTTGTATAAAAGCTGGCACCCACCCTAACCTTTTATTATGCCAAAGGTTTCCAGCACCATGTTGCCTGGTTCTTTATTGTACATATGGCGACAAAAGATGGGAAGATGGGGCCCCCATCTTGAACAAAGCTGGCTCCCAGGTAGCCTTTTTCTATTGGCACAGCTGCCAGCATATACCCCTGCAAACTTCCAGCTTGCTTATCTATGTCTGCAGCTTGACTTTTCAGGCTGCTCTTTGTTAGAAAAGAAATTATTTGGAGGCTGCTTTATATTAAAAGGGAAATTTGCCAAGGACTCTGTTGCCCTTATTATCTGCCCAAATAATTTCTTTCTGCCTCCTGTATCAGCAGGAGCAGGGCAGAGTCATGGAATCTGCTTTGTTACAGCCACAGCCTCTTCCTGCTGTTCTGAGGATATCAGGCTCTGGGGTTTTGGCTTTTGGGTCCATCGAGCCACACTCTGTGCTGAGCACCTCCGGAGCGTCCAGAGCCACTGTGGCTTGGAGCACAACCCGGATGGGACGGAGACCAGTAAATGGGCAGGGACACACACAGCCAGAAGGTGCAGAGTCAGGAATGCCATGCAGGTGTCACACCTGAATGCCATTTTGAGGGCTTCCTACAAATGGGTGGGACAGCAGTGGAGATTGTGCCTGGCTGAAGGCATAGCTGGGCATTTTTAAACTGTGTGTCTGTGCTTTAAACTGTTGGTTGCGAGCCTTTTCTCATTGATTCCAGGGTTTTTATACATATATACACACATACACACACACACACACACACACACATTCTGGATACTGGTTTTTTGTTGATTACATGTGCATATCTTCCTAGTGGATTGTCTCTTCCCGCTAGCGTAGGGCTCACTAGGGGTTCAACTCCACAGTCACAAGACTATCACAGGCCTAAAGCATATCGTATTTAAGTCACAGACAGATGTCCCCGACTTAAAGATGGTTCTACACAGGATTTTTTTTTTTTTTTTTTTTTTTTTTTTTTTTTTTTTTGAGACGGAGTCTCACGCTGTCGCCCAGGCTGGAGTGCAGTGGCGCGATCTCGGCTCACTGCAGCTCCGCCTCCTGGGTTCCGCCATTCTCCTGCCTCAGCCTCCTGAGAGCTGGACTACAGGCGCCCGCCACGCGCCCGGCTAATTTTTGTATTTTAGTAGAGACGGGTTTCACTGGTCTCGATCTCCTGACCTGTGATCGCCCGCCTCGGCCTCCCAAAGTGCTGGGATTACAGGCTTGAGCCACCGCGCCCGGCCTACACAGGATTTTTCAACTTTGCAATAGTTTTATCAGGATGTAACTCTGTAAGGATCGACTTTGTGAAGGGTTAGTTTCTACTGAATGTATGTCACTTTTGCATAATTATGAAGTCAGGACCCTCTGCTGTGTTGCCAGCAATAGATGCATTTTCCTTTTGTTTTTATGAGATGGAGTCTCACTCTGTCACCCAGGCTGGGGTGCAGTGACGCTATCTTGGCTCACTGCAACCTCTGCCGCCCAAGTTCAAGCGATATTCCTGCCTCAGCTTCCCGAGTAGCTGGGATTACAGGCGCCTGCCACCACGCCCGACTGATTTTTGTATTTTTTTTTTTTTTTTTTAGTAGAGATAGGGTTTCACCATCTGGGCCAGGCTGTCTTGAATTCCTGACCTCGTGATCCACCCACCCCAGCCTCCCAAAGTGCTGGGATTACAGGTGTGAGCCCCCGTGCTGTTCCGAATTTTTTCTTTTTTTAAAAAGAGACAGAATCACTCTGTTGCCCAGGCTGGAGTGCAGTGGCACGATCATGGCTCACTGTAGCCTTGACCTCCCAGGCTTAAGCAGTCCTCCCACCTTAGCCACCTGAGGAGCTGGGACTATAGGCATGTACCACCATACCCAGCTAATCTTTTAGACAGGGTTTCACTATATTGCCTAAACTGTCTGGAACTCCTGAGCTCATGTAATCCACCTGCCTCGGCTTCCCAAAGCACTGGGATTACAGGAGTGAGCCACCATGCCCAGCCAGATTGATTTTTGATTTACGGTGGGTTTTTGGGGGTGGAACCATGGTGTCAGGAGCATCTGTACTCATATTCCCTCACGATGGTGGCCTTGTTTATATTCGTGATTCTGTTGAGTTTTGCTTTCTCTGCTTTCAGGCTCTAGCTGGCACCTTAAGGTTTAGAATTGTTCAGTCTTTTGAGTCAAACCTTTCCTTTTCTTTTTTGAGACGGAGTCTTGCTCTGTCGCCCAAGCTGGAGTGCAGTGCTGTGATTTCAGCTCACTGCAACCTCCGCCTCCCGGGTTCAAGCCATTCTCCTGCCTTAACCTCCCAGGTAGCTGGGGGCTACAGGCATGTACCGCCACATCCAGCATTTTTAGTAGAGACAGGGTTTCACCATGCTGGCCAGGCTGGTCTCGAACTCCTGACCTCAAGTGATCTGCCGCCTCGGCCTCCCAAAGTGCTGGGATTACAGACGTGAGCCACCGCACCCGGCCAAACCTTTTGTCATCGTGTGGTAGTAGCTGTATGTCAGAGAGTACTTTTTGGCTTTTTTTTTTTTTTTTTTTTTTTTTTTTTTTGGTATATTCCCCCGCCAGCTCTCTGTTTCTGTCTGGTGCGTGTTTTCTTTTTTCCCCCTATCTCCATGGAGCCTATCTCGGCAGTGTTGAGATGATGGTCAGAGGGAGGTGGCTTTGAGGGGGAGGGGCTCGGCAGGCTGTGGAGGCAGGTGGGACCCAGTGATTCTAGCTTGGGGGCGTAGGGTATTAAGTGCGGATGGAGGAGCACAGCAGTGCCAGTTTGGGAAGAACGCTGTTAGGCAGATGGCTCTGGGCCTGCCCCAGGGTACCCAGCTGGGACCTGTTTCTCTGAAGTAAGCTACTCCCATAGTGCATGTTCACAGCTTTTCTGCCCTGTCCCCTGCAGCCACCTGGAAGGGAAAATGGCAGCTACCAGCTTCCCTGAGGCCTGAGCCAGCTGCCGAGGTTTGGGATTAGCTGTAGGTAACAGGAGTGATTCTAGCCTCGCTTTTGTAATTCCAGTACCAAGGGAGGAACACCTACCTGGCGAAGATTGACGGCTTCCGAGCCTATTACAAGCAGTGGTTGACAGTGATGCCCGCAGAGGAAACCCTGCACCCCTGGCAGAAGTTCCGGACCAAGCCCCAGGAGGACCAGGACACTGGCAAGGAGGCTGATGTGGACGGATGTGCCCTGGGGGGCAGGTGATGGGAGCACAGCTGAACAGCGTGCTCAGCCCTCAGTGCTCTGTGGGAGCCCCAGGACAAGTGAGCTGGTGTCACCTCCTGCCTGGGGGAAGAGCCAGGCCCTGAGGAACAGCTGCAGTGTGTCACGGGTGTTGGTGTGAGGACACATGCTAGGCCCAAGGTGCCTGCACTCCCGGCAGGTCCAAGGGCAGCTCCAGCCACTTTCGCATGTCACCTTGGGTCTTCCAGCTCCAGTACCTTTGCGTGTCACCTCACACACCACAAGGGGACTGGGGCATCTGGTCCCTGGGGCCTGGTGCCGCCCTGCCGGGTTCCACAGGCCAATGCTCTGAAAGAATAGACGTGGGGCCCGAGAGGTTTAAAGATTTTATTTTTACAAATCACAGCTGATGGACAGCGAAGCCTTCCCCGTAGAGACCCGTGCTCCAACTTGGGCCTGGGGCACTGCTCGCTGCTCCCAGGAAGGGGGTGGCGCCACAGGCAGGAACCTGCGAAGTCCAGAGTCCAGGGTGGAGAGCGCTAGCCTCAGCCAGAGCAGCCACGGCAGCCACAGTGTGTGCACTCGATGATGCGGCCCTGCAATGGAGGAGGACATTGAGATGATGCCACTGCGCCACACTCGTCCCTGCACGCTCACATACGTGGCAACCCTCTGCCACCATGCCGTATAGGGACACACCTCAGAAACCCTTCTGTGACAGCTCTGGACGGAAAATTTGGCTCCCTCATGAACGTGGAAACAGCTGCTATTGATACCAAGGTTACATCTGTATGTGTAGTTATAATACGTTATGCAAATCCAACACACGTTTGCCAATCAAGAAAAAGAAATCGGTGTGAATGAGTCTCATTATTCCCCTAAGTGAGCATGACAGACGCTGCAATAAGCAGAGGTGGCTCTGCTACTGTTTGGGGACTTCAGGGCAGCCTCTGGGCTGGGACACTCTGGTGGGGAAGAGGGCAGGAGGCTATGCACTTGAGTTACACCCTTCTGGCCCAGAGCCCTCCAGAAATAAGCGTCTTGTCCCCCAGGCCTGGTGCGGCCCAATGCTTGGCTGGCCAGAAAGCCCTAGAACAGTGGCTTGTGTTTATTTTACTTTTTCAGTTCTTTTTTTGGAGGAGCAAGACCGTAGTTTAAGTAAACAGGATCCTCTGATGAAACCCAGGTAAGTCTACAGCAGGCTGTTTTGGCCACTGGGTTGAAGCAGCACCCCAGTCCACCAGCCCCCCGACCTGGATCCCTTGTGGAATGTGGGCACTCAGGGGAGGGGTGGCTTCTGCCACTCTGCCACCCCTCCCTGCCTCCATCAGAAAACCAACACCCTAGTCTTTCCTCGGGGAGGCGGCCCTTGCTCGACCCCACTGCTCAGTACACAAGTCCTCAGATCCAGCCACAGCTCTCCATTGTCTCACTGCAGCATGAAGGGACCCGTGTGAAGAGGCACCTGTGTGGAGCTGGGGACAAGAAGGCCAGGCTGGCAGATGGGCCGTGGGGCCTGATCTCCCAGCTGGGCCAACAACTGTGTGCCGAGGCCACAGCTGCCTTTCAGAGGGGCCTGGGGCCGGATAGACCTCAGCTCCTGTCCCTCAGCACCACTCCTGAGGTGCCTGGCCTAGGAGTGGTACTTGGAACAGAAAGTTCTGAAAGAAGAAATAGTGGGCTGGGCGCAGTAGCTCATGCCTGTAATCCCAGCACTTTGGGAGGCTGAGGCGGGCAGATCACCTGAGGTTGGGGGTTCAAGATCAGCCTGACCAACATGGAGAAACCCCGTCTCTACTAAAAATACAAAATTAGCCAGGCATGGTGGCGGGCGCCTGTAATCCCAGCTACTCCGGAGGCTGAGGCAGGAGAATCATTTGAACCCAGGAGGCAGAAGTTGCAGTGAGTCAAGATGACGCTGCTGCACTCCAGCCTGGGCGACAGAGCAAGACTCCGTCTCGGGGGGGCAGGGGGAAAAACAGTGATGGTAATGCTAAAGTATCACTGTGAGGACTGAGGGAAAGGGACAGGAACTCAGTGGCCACCCTTCCCTGATGTCACCCTGCCACCATCTCAGGATTAGGGCTCCTCACTACCATTTCCTAAGTGAGGAAAGGGGTTCAGTAATTTGCCCAAAGGTGGAGTTGAGATTGGCCCCAGACCTAACAGAGACACTCACAGCCACACGCTGCCTCACACGGATTCCTGAACAAAGGGACCCACTCCCGCGAGGGAGAGCCAGCAGGACATTCAGGGACAAAACGACATTCCAGCCCAACCAAATATCGTAAGATCCCTTGGAGTCGACTAGAGCTTTTGAGCTGAAAATAACATCAAGCGTGTGTGTCAGACATTACCACTTCCAGCTTGCTTTTGGGCACACGGCAGATGCAGTTCGTCCCGAAGTTGGTGTCCCTTGTCTGAATGCACCGCAGGCAGCACAAGTTCTCATACCCTTGCTTTTTCCATTTTGCAATCAGGTTTTTGTCTGCATAGCCTTCTTTAATACAATATTCATAGAGTTCTGTCAAAAAGATGGGGAAAGAGCATCAGACCATGGTCTAAAAACCTTCCCCACCCTTGATCAAAAAGAGCATTCAGGCTGGGTGCAGTGGCTCATGCCTGCAATCCCAGCACTTTGGGAGGCCGAGGCAGGCGGATCACCTGAGGTCAGGAGTTCCAGACCAGCCTGGCCAACATGGTGAAACCCCGTCTCTACTAAAAATACAAAAGTTAGCTGGGCGTGATGGCAGGCACCTGTAATCCCAGCTACTCAGGAGGCTGAGGCAGGAGAATCGCTTGAACCCAGGAGGCAGAGGTGGTATTGACCTGAGGTCATGCCACTGGACTCCAGCCTGGGTGACAGAGTGAAACTCCATCTCAAAAAAAAAAAAGCATTCAGTATTTCAGTGGGACAGTCCTTGGAGGAGGAACCAAAAACAAGTATTTAGGCCAGGCAAGGTGGCGTAATCCCAGCACTTCTGGAAGCCAACGCCAGAGGATCACTTGAGTTAAACCAGCCTGGGCAACATAGCAAGGGTCCATCTCTACAAAAAATTTAAAAATTAGCTGGGTGGGGTGGTGCACACCTGTAGTCCCAGCTACTCGGGAGGTTGAGGTGAGAGGATCCCTTGAGCCCAGAAGGTTGAGGCTGCAGTGAGCCATGATTGTACCACTACACTCCAGCCTGGGGAACAGAGCAAGACCCTGTTTCATTAAAAAAAAAAAAAAAGCCAACAGTGGTGGCTTATGCCTGTAATTCCAGCACTTTGGGAGGCTGAGTCGGGTAGATCACCTGAGGTCAGGGGTTCGAGACCAGGCTGACCAATATGGTAAACCCCATCTTCACTAAATATACAAAAATTGGCCAGGTGTCATGGCGGGTGCCTGTAATCCCAGTTACTTGGGAGCTGAGACAGGAGAATCGCTTGTACCCAGGAGGCAGAGCTTGCAGTGAGCCAAGATCGTGCCACTGCACTCTAGGCCTGGGTGACAGAGTGAGACACCATCTCAAAAAAAAAAACCACACACACACACACACACACACACAACTCAGCCAACATTGGCTCCCCTTTATTTTTAGTGATAAGAAAAACCATGACTTGCAGAAGTTGTGAGAATAAGGATTGTAGTTAGCTCAGTAACTCCAAAAGTGACTCGAGTTTGAAAGGCCAAGAGAGACTAATTACCTCTGCTGATGGCTTTCCGCTTGTAAAAGAGGTCAAAGATGTAGCGGGTTTTCTGGTGGTGGATCCTGAAGATGGGCCACAGAGATTCCACTTTCCTTTTTCCCTCATGCGGTTCTGTTTCAGCTGGGGAGAAACAAAGTGTGTGTTTGGGGGAACAGGGTCAGTCTGCGCAGGATTTTCTTTTTGTAAATAACTAGTGATAATGAATAAATACCACTTTATACCCACTAGGATAGCTATAATCAAAACTATGGCACAATAACAAGTGTTGGCAAGGAAGTGGAGAAATTGGAAGTCTCCTACCTTCCTGGTTGGAATGTAAAATGGTGGAACCACTGCAGAAAAGAGTTAGGTGGCTCCTCAAGAAGTTAAACAGGGCTGGCCGGACTCGGACTCGGTGGCTCACACCTGTAATCCCAGCACTTTGGGAGGCTGAGATGGGCAGATCACTTGAGGTCAGGAGTCTGAGACCAGCCCGTTCAACATGGTGAAACCCCATCTCTACTAAAAATACAAAAGAATTAGCAGGGTATGATGGTGCGTGCCTGTAATCCCATCTACTTGGGAGGCTGAGGTGGGAGAATCGTTTGAACCCTGAGGGGGAGGATGCGGTATCAAAAAAAAAAAAAAAAAAAACAGGGAATGAAGTTAGGTACTGATGTATTCTACAACACAGATGAACCTTGAAACATAAAATTGACTGTGGCAATGGTCGCACAACTTTGTGAATATACTAAAAACCCCTTAATTGGATAATTCAACAGGATGACTTTCATAGTATATGATTAGTATCTCAATAAAGCTGTTATTTAATAAAAATAAGCCATTGGGCATTTTGGGAGGCCAAGGTCAGCAGATCATGAGGTCAGGAGATCGAGATCAGCCTGACCAACATGGTGAAACCCCATCACTACTAAAAATTTAAAAATTAGCCAGGCGTGGTAGTGCACGCTTGTAATCCCAGTTTCTCAGGAGGCTGAGGCAGGAGAATTGCCTGAACTCGGGAGGTGGAGGTTGCAATGAGCAGAGATCACACCACTGCACTCCAGCCTAGACAACAGTGTGAGATTCCATCTCAAAAAAAAAAATAAATAAAAAGTAAGCTAAGTAATTTAAACATACTTGTTTTAAATTAAAAATGTCTATTTTTGGATCCTTTTGTAATTCATGAGTGTGATGATTGGGTGTTCACATCCATGTGTGAGACATGCCACTCTCAAACTTTGTCACAATGTTGGCACATTACCTGTGTGACAAGAAAAAAAGTCTTTTTAATTACAGAATTAGAAAACATAAGGCCGGGCGCGGTGGCTCAAGCCTGTAATCCCAGCACTTTGGGAGGCCGAGGCGGGCGGATCACAAGGTCAGGAGATCGAGACCACAGTGAAACACCGTCTCTACTAAAAATACAAAAAAAAATTAGCCGGGCGCGGTGGCGGGCGCCTGTAGTCCTAGCTACTCAGGAGGCTGAGGCAGGAGAATGGCGTGAACCCAGGAGGCGGAGCTTGCAGTGAGCCGAGATCGCGCCACTGCACTCCAGCCTGGGCAACAGCGTGAGACTCCGTCTCAAAAAAAAAGAAAAAAAAAAAAAAAAGAATTAGAAAACATAGATTTTTAAAAAGATCACTCAATGGTAACTTCTGTTAAAAGGTTAGTCCTGGCTGGGCATGGTGGCTCACGCCTGTAATCCCAGCACTTTGGGAGGCCAAGGTGGATGGATCACTTGAGGTCAGGAGTTCGAGAACAGCCTGGCCAACATGGCGAAACACTGTCTCTACTAAAAATACAAAAATTATCTGGGCATGGTGGCACATGCCTATAATCCCAGTTACTCAGGAGGCTGAGGCACGAGAAGTGCTTGAACCCAGGAAGCAGAGGTTGCAGTGAGCTGAGATTATGCCACTGCACTCCAGCCTGGATAACAGATGACCCTGTCTCAAAAAAAAAAAAAAAAAAAAAAAAAGCCAAAAAACCAACCTTGGTCCCTATGCTTTCAGATCTAGTTCTACAGCATAGTAATTTCTCAAGATAATTCTAGGCCCATAGATGGGCATCCTAATCATCCTGAAGGCACTTCTAATTTCATCTCCCAGCCAAAGTCCTTTAGGGCTGAGGAAAAGCCAAATAAACTAGACCAGTCTACAGGTTCTCAGCGAAGTGGCCGCAGG